GCATGGAACGAGAGGGACAGAGATAAACAGACACAGACAGCTGGATAAGAATATGTATGTGTTGGGGGTGGGTATGTAGGAAAACCAGATTGGGTGTGTAAAAGCCAGAGTTTAGTTGGGTCATGAGATTCAGAGGAAGAAGCAAGGGGAAGTGGGCCAGTAACTTCGAGGCTCCAGGTCCCGTCATGATGCGTTGCGAGCTGCAGATCCTACGCATCCAGTGAGCTGCCTCAAGTGAGGACACTTCTCTAGAAAAGGAACCTAACACCTTTGGGGAGTAATATCAGCAGGCTGAACCACCCTTGTCTAGGAGGAAGAAGTGTCAGGTGGTTTGCATCCAGCGAAGGCCATATGCAGTTCATAGAGAACAGGGAAGACCTGGAAACACTGGGTCGGTGATTTTCTGTCCCTCATATTTGGTAAGTTCAGGAAGGTGACAGGAAGCAATCAGGGCCATTCTGGTCAGTCTCCTCTGTACCTGGTTAAGTAGATTACCGAGGAAAACAATAACAATTTTTATTTATTTATTTATTTATTTTACAATAATTTTTAGAAGCCCTTGCAAACATCTTTGAAGTCTGGCTACAGACGTACATAAAAGAGCATCTCTGGGTAATGGCCACTGTGTCTTTCTGTCGCACCTCCCATTCAGTTAAATCAGGAGGGCACTGCTCCTCTCAAGATAATGTCAGGTAGAGGTACAGAAGTCTGTGGTGGGCCACCCGGTGGAGTAGTGGTTGGGGCATTTAGATCTCAAATGGTCAAATGTGCAGTTTGAGTCCTGGACTGGATGCTTGAGGGACGCACTGACTGGGACCATGTGCCTGTGAGCCCAGGGTCCTCAGAGGAGATGGAGAAGAAGGGACTGTGGTGTGGCCCCACCCCAGGGGGATGATTACTTTCTCTCTCACTCTCTCTTCCTGTCTCCCTGACAAAAGCACATGCCATGCTGAAAACAAACAAAACAAAACAAAAACAAAAGAAGGAGAAAAGAAAAAAGGAAAGAACACACACACACACACACCATTCAGGGAAACAAAAGAGAGAAGAAAAAGAAAAGAAAAAGTGTGTGGTACCTGGGGGAGTGGGAAGACAAAGGCGCTCTCATTCAGTAGGAAAAATACTTTTGGAACGTAGGTTGGCACTCACTATTAAAGTCAAACTAAGACCATGAGAACGGCTGCCTTCAGCTTCTAGCAAAGGTGGAGCAAGAGAAACCCCACCTGAAGCCTCTCACCACTCAAAAAAAAACCAATCAGACAACAACTAAAAGAACAGACAAAATATAAGAAGTTCCATTTTTAAAGTCACTGGAAATTAGGCCACAAAGCACAGCCACGCCTGGGAGAGGAGAGAGAACGCCAAGCCCTACCATCCAAGCGTCCCAGCTCGCTGGCTTCAGACAGTCCCCAGGCTGGAGCCCAGGACGGCAAGCTGAGGCCAACACCCTGGACCCAGTGTCCAGCGACAGAAAGGCTGTGAGAGCTCACGGGGAGAAGAGACAGTAATGAGAGCGGCCGTGGAGAGAGAATGGAGGTCTGGGAAGGGGCTCTCTCAGGTGGTCAGCAGAAGACTGAAGAGGGGGTCAGCCTGGGGTGGGATGGGTCAGCCGGCTGGACCCCACGCCGCCGACTGCATGGTTGGTGTCCTGGACCCGGTGCCTTGGGAAGCACATCGGCACCTGTGGATGTGTGCCCAGAATCCCAAAGAGAGGGAAAACCAGAGAAGAAGAGATGCAGCGAGCCCATTCCCCTCCCGAGGTCCTTTCTCACTTTCTGTTTCCCTCTCTCTGTGGCTCTCTCTGGTCGCATGTGCCCTTGCGGGGAGGAGGAGGAGAGAAACTGCTCCAAGCAAAGGAAAGAGGCTTCTGAAAGGGCAACAGAACAGTGCCTAGTGCTCACCCAGGACTGCAAATGGTACTCACTCCCTACAGGCCGGCTGACCTACTCACGACTCCTGAGGCCTGGTATAGACTCCCCGGAAAGGCCTAGCCTCAGCAGTGGGAAGAGTGACTCTAGCCTGACCCACCTTTTTAAAAAGTGGAAGAAGCAAGACCCAAAAGGATCATACTGCTCGCAGGTGTTGCCTGGTATTGCCTCCCAGCAACCCGGCCCCCACCCTCCAGTACAAAAGCTCAAAAAGGATATAGGAAAAAAGGCCAGGAGAGAAGGTGAACTTCACTAGGTGTGACCTCCAGTCCAACAGTCCCTACCAGGCTTGCAAAGGGTCAGGAGACATTAACCCCAAATCAGAAGAATCAAGCAACTGGACCCATCCAGACCGGCGCTCTCACGACGTCAGTATAGCAGAGAGGACGTCGACTGAGCTCTCATGGCCGGGGCCGTATTCCCTGGGTCCACAAAGAGGGCCCGGCTCAGGTTTCAGAGATGAAAACTGCCACGGCCAAAGTTATCATCAGTTCGCTGGTCCGGTTAAGGGCTGAGAACACACTGGCCAAGACATAGTGAGGGACGGTAAAGCCATGGACAATTGCAAACAGCCACCGGTTTACCTCCTCGCTTGCTCAGAGAAAAGGGGAGTGGCAGAGGTGCCTGCCATCACGCGAAAGACCAGGCCATTCCTGGTAGAATATACGACGTGCGTTGTGCACCTTAAAAGGTCGGAGACGTCCCGAGCGGACTCGAACCACCGGCCTTGAGGCGCGCGGGACAGCGCGGTAGACGACCGCGCTACGCCGAAAACAAGAAGACAGACGTGGCATCACTACAAGAACCCGCGCTCCGCTACCGCTAGGTGGAGCCACCGCCACCTGCAGGACAACTGTGCGGCTCTGCAGCTCGGGAGAGCGGGAGAGGCGCGCTCCGCTCATCCCGCCGTTCAGTTCCTCAGGTCCTAAGCCCCATTCGCCCAGCTCGCCCCTACCCTGCCGCAGGAACCAGCGCCCCCGGGGTCCTGGGCACGCGACCCCCGCCTGACCGCGGCGGCACCCGGCGCAGCTGAACGCCCCGGGCTCCAACGCTGGCGCTTCCCGGGCTCCGCGCCGCCTCCGCCAGACCACGCGAGCCGCGGGCGCTCCCCTCGCTCACCGCCGAGACGGGAACCGCGGGCGGGGGAGAAGGCGGCAGGTGCCGCCGCGCGGGAGCCAGGCCGGGGAGGCGGCGACCCCACGGTCAGGCCGCCCGAGAGGCCCGTGCACCGAGGTCGGATTCGGGGACACCAACCACAGCTGTTTTCATCCGGTACCGGAATTGGGAGGGAGAGACCGCAACCCCGACAGGACAGCCGGCGGCGAAGGACGGCTCCAAACCCCCTGCCTACCCGGCACGCGGCAGGGCCGGGAGGGAAACGCCTTTACGTCAAAACCAGTCGCGCCACGGCACGGCTCGCCGCACGGTCGGTGGCTCGCCGTGATCGTATAGTGGTTAGTACTCTGCGTTGTGGCCGCAGCAACCTCGGTTCGAATCCGAGTCACGGCATTGTGGAAACAATGGCACGGCAGGAAACCCCGTGTTTTAGCTTTGTCTCCTACTTTTATCTTCAGTCTGTAACAGATTCC